CGTCCAGCGCCAGCTCCAGACGCGCCCCGGCGACCCCAGGCAGCGGCCCTATGCGCGTTCTATTATTTTCCATCATCCATTGAATTGGGCGTCAATTAACGGGAGACGCCCAGACCCGGCGCCGTTTAATAGTGTGGCCGTAAGCACAAACGGGCCTTTGCACCCTCAATACTGCCGAGGCACGGCGCTCACACCTCTTGGCAAGACACTGACTGACTGCGCTGACATAGCAGTTTTGTCACTTAACTGTTACGTCAGCGGGCGATGGGGTCGTCACTTCCCTACGCCTAATTATTATTATTATTGTTTTGGGGTATCTATAAAATTTTCTCATCTGGTTGGGCAGTATAAATATATAATTGTAAATGAAAATGGTAAACATACATAAATATGAATAAAATAAAATAAATACATAAAAAATACATAAATATATAAAAACCCAACCAGATGGAAGCCCTCGGCAGGGGAGACCAGACGGCCGAGGGTTAGGGGGAAAGGGAAAGAAACCGGCGGACGATGCGGGCGGTATCGAGGAGCACCGCCTTCTGCATTTGAGCCTGGAGCGGTCCGTCACGGAGTCCCAGTCGCCTCAGATGACCCGGGAGGCTGACTGGGATTAACCCGTTCGCAGAAACGACCACAGGAATAATTTCGGCCGGCAGACCACCCCACATGCCGGTAACCTCGTGAGCCAGGTCCAGATATTTTGTCACCTTATCTGTTTCGGCTTTCACGAGGTTCTCGTCATAAGGAATGGTAATGTCGACCAAAAAGATCCTTGACTGTGCCCGGTCCATCAGCACAATATCAGGCTTATTCGCAAGAATAGTCCTGTCTGTGATGATGGCCCGGTCCCAGTAGAGCCTGGCGCGGTCATTTTCGAGCACGGCTTCCGGCAAGTACTTATAATACGGCAGTTTCCGATCCACTAGGCCGTATTTCAGAGCGAGCTCCTGGTGTAGAATCCTGGCTACTAGATTGTGTCTGTGCAAATACTCAGAGTTAGAAAGCGCCGAACAACCGGAGATGACATGCCTAAGTGACTCACCGGGATGGCGACAAGCTCGACAGATGTCGACGGCGCCATCCTTTAGGATGTATCTCCGATAATTGTTGGTCTTAATAACCTGATCCTGTATTGCACAGACAAAACCCTCGGTTTCCCCAAAGAGGTCACCGAAACGTAGCCAGTGAAGGGAGGCGACTGTGTCTACGAAAGGCTCATGTAGAGCCTTGTAGAACCTCCCGTGGAGCTCCTTCTCCTTCCATACGGCCTCCCGGTCGGAAATGCACTGTACTGCTGGGTCTTGCCATTGCTCGTTGGCTAAGGATAGAGGAGTCAGTCCTTTATCACAAGAAATAACGTCCCTATAGTATGGATCATCCGCTCTCGTCAGAAAGTAATTACGGAGGCTGCACACTTCGCGATTATGCATGGTAAGCGCGCTTAAAAAGCCGCGCCCACCATGCTTCCGCGGCAAGTACAGCCTCATTACTGACGATCTCGGATGATGCATCCTGTGGGACGTCATTATAGTGCGGACTTTTCTGTCCAGAGCGTTTAGTTCGGTCTGAGTCCACCTAAGTATGCCAAAGGTATACATGAGAACAGGCATGACCCAACCGTTATATGCGTGCGTCTTATTCACACCGGACAAAAGGCTGTTAAGCACTTTGGTCAAGCGTGCATAAAACACATCGCAAACTGACTGTTTCATACCCGCCTCATCTACACCGATGTTCTGTGACATACCCAGGTATCGGTATGTTTCAGCCTCGGAAAGGGTCCTTATGCTGATGGGCATAGATAAATCTATGCCCTCAGAGTTAGCAACCCTACCCCTTTCGACATGGAGGACCGCACACTTATCCGTCCCCAGCTCCATTCTAATAGAATTGCTAAAATCACAAGTGATGTTTAGCAATTCCACAAGATGAGAGCGATTATTATTGTTATTATTATTATTATTATTGTTATACTAACATCTCTATAGACTGAGTCTGAATAAAAAAGAATATTATTATTATTAGGACGGCCGAAAGCTTGTTTGGGGGGGGGTCCCTGAGAGAGTTTCTCGGTCTTCGGACTTAATAGCGAGAGGGGATTGGGGCTGCATAGGAAGCTGCCTCACGAATGAAATGATTAGAGTGAGACTCTGAGGCTTTGAAGACTTTCTCAGAGAGTGTTTATAGAAATTGCTGGACTGTGGGGAGTTCTAAGTCTCGATGGAGGGCGGCGTTACGGACGTACCAGGTTGTGTTCGTAGCCCGACGACAAAAATTGTTTTGAACTATTTGAAGTTCGTTAAGAATATTGAGGTTAGCGTGAGCAAATATGGGGCCCACGTAAGTCATAACTGGTAGTATACAGACCTTATAAAGGGTTCGCTTGTTACGGAGGGCCATTTTACTGTGTTGGCCCAGCGTACTGTTGAGCCTACTTAGATAGAAGCGTGCGTTGCGAATTGCTCTCTTCACATGGGGCCCGAAGGTGAGCCTCGTGTCAAGGGTGACACCTAAATATTTGGCGGTCGTATGCCATGGGACAGGGGTCCCTAGCATACGGATTGGCTGAATGGTAATAAGGCGCCGTCGTTTATGATCAAAGTGAACGGCGCTCTTCTCCGGGTTCACATGGATAGGCCATTTTTGAAACCAAGCTCCTAAGTCATTAACTGACTTTTAGATCTTGTTCCGTATGAAAAGTAGTGAGATACCTTTACAATAAAGGGCAGTGTCGTCTACGAAGAAGGAGAGCTGAACACCTTTCGACGGGATGGGAATGTCGTTGGTGAACAGGATATATCGGAGAGGGGCAAGCACTGAGCCCTGAGGGACACCGGCTTTGATGGGGAGCTGAGAGGAGAGCGTGACTTCGTGTCTAAAACGAAAGGTACGATCCTTCAGGTAGGAGGCTACTAGACGAACAAGACGATCAGGGAGGCTTATTTTATAGAGTTTATATATAAGGCCTTCGTGCCAGACTCTATCGAATGCCTTTGCTATGTCGAAAAAGACCGCGATGGTCTTATGACGACGAGGATAAAAACCGCTGAGGATATATACCACAATACGGTGAACTTGTTGGGGACAAGAGTGTTTCGCTCGGAAACCAAATTGGTGGGGAATCGTTACGTTCTGGGACACCTTGTATATATAGCACAGTACTTTTTTTTTATAGAAGAGGGGGCAAACGAGCATGCGGCTCACCTGATGGTAAGTGACTACCGCCGCTCATGAACAACCGCAACACCAGGGGAATTGCAGATGCGCTGCCGGCCTTTTAGAAAGGTGTAAGCTCTTTTCTTGAAGGTTCCTAAGTCGTATCGGTCCGGAAAATTCGCTGGTGGTAATTGATTCCACAAGGAAGTTGTGCGAGGGAGAAAACTTCTTCTAAATCGCACAGTGGTGGACCGCCAATCATCCAGATGGTATGGATGGTAACGTGAGTTTTGTCGCGATGTGCGATGGTGAAATTGAGCGGCTGGAATTAGTCCGAACAATTCCTCAGAGTACTCCCCGTGATAGATGCGATAAAATACGCAAAGAGATGCAAAATCTCTACGCAGTGCCAGTGTATCGAGCCGATCAGAAAGAACTCGGTAGTCGACGATTCGAGCCGCTCTGCACTGGATGCGGTCAAGTGGAAGGAGCTGGCACTGGGGTGCCCCGGCCCAGAGATGAGAACAGTATTCCATGTGGGGCCGAACTTGCGCTTTGTAAAGTTGCAAGCGATGTGCCGGCATGAAATAGTCTTTATTCTAATCTAATTCTTAGTGAGTCCCACAAAATCACGCAGCTGGCTGCGTGGTATGCTATGAGTATTCACCACCTCCCTCCCCCGCTTCCGGAGGGTAGCCTTGCATTAGGCGCAAAAAAAACAGAGCTCTTGGCCGCTCCCCGGACTTAATATCTCTCCTTTTTTTCTACATCGAAACTGGTGACCAACCGACGTGATTTGAACACGCAACATGCAACCTTCCACGTATACTATGTAACAAGTAAAAGTCTTTGTGCCTACCTCATCCAGTTACCCTTCAATGAGGGTATCCACGATCTTTTCTACAACCACAGATTTCAAAGAGGTGAAAGTTAATTTATTAAGAAAGTGTAAAGATTAATAATGCTTTCTGAAATATTACTTACATTTTATATTAATTAGGTTAGAAATAGTGAAACCAAACTACGGATACTTCTAAAAGTAAAATAATAAATAAAGTTGGCCGTCACGGGATGCCGGGCGGATGTGAAACATCATAGTATCGACTGTATACGGTAGAATTTAAAGATAATGAAAACCAATAAAGAGTAAAATAAATAAAAATTGTAGGATAAATAATATTAAAAAGAAATTTTCGCGGAGAGAAATTGTTGGTGAACGCGTCAAGTAGGTAGGTATACTATAGTGGAATACGAGTAGAAAGGTAAACGTAACATATGAGCAAGAAAACTCTCTTTACTCTGTGCACGCAGTACACAACTCACACAGAGAAGCAACGAAGTGTATATATAGTATAGCACATAAGTAAATGTCGTATACGGACACGCACACAGAAGGGAGTCTAGAGCCCTAGCGAAGAGGGGGCATGACGGCGTAAAAGAGCGTCATGCCATTTTTCATCATGACACACGAGTAGATTTTACTGCCAAAACACACATCTCTCACATTGTAAAAAAGATATAAATATAATACAGTAAAAAATTACAGAATACAGCAATGAGACATTATTGTGTATGCATACCCTAGGAACCAAAAATAAAAATTAAGCATTGTCAGGAGTGATCGAGGCTATATTTTGTCCGAAAAACTTTGAGATTGTTTTTCGGAAAAGACTTTGGCTATCATAAATCTAAATAACGCCTCATTAATAGATAGATCCTATCCAGGCGAAGCCGGGGCGGGTCCTTAGTTATCTAAGTATTTAATAAACTTTTAAAACCAACGCTTCTCTTAAAATGTCTGTGTATTCATTATGGTACTAAATGTGTTTGGATTGTAGCTGGTATTGCCCGCTGGGCAAGTGGAGATTGTGACGACGGGCCACGTGGAAGACTTCGAGGACGCCGCGCTCATACCGCGCGAGGACATCGAGCGAATTAATGAACTCATTCTAGTGAGTTAATCACATAGTGCATAAAACATATTTAAAAGATTTAATCACGTTTAATTTAAATTTATTTTAGTTCAAGAGAAAGGCTTTTCAATAAACTTTTCGAGCGCTAAGGAACACTCAGAGTTATGGGCGATTTCGAAAGTAGTAAAGTACGGGTTTATAGTAAAGGCTTAATATTGTCTTTAAAAACCTTTTCTGCTTAAAATATTCACAATATCATGAGCGACTTCAGTCGATGTTTGTGCTTACCCACTACCAAGGGGCCAAGTCCTCTTTTACTGGTACGCCAGTTATTTTGCTGTGGTCTAGGGTCCAGTTCCCAACTTAACGTCCCCTTCGGGGGGAGCGCTTTGGTTGGCTATCAATATCATGAGCGCCATTTTTTTTTAGAATAAGAGTGACAAACAGTACACAGTCCACCTGATGGTAAGTGGATTCTGTGGCACAAAGACATCTACATTTTTCCTCATTTAACAATTAAAATGCAGATGCGTTGTCACCCCTGACGACTGAGATGGAATGCCTCGTTTCCGGTAAAAAGGGTCTCCGGTTCTCTAGACTTACCATACGAAACACAACAGCAATAAGCTGTTATTTTACGCTGTTATTCTGTGAGAGCGTGGTCCTATCCCGATCGAGTCGACCCATTCGTGCTACCATAATATAAGGACGTGGCTCTACCACAAAAATAAGTTTAAAATATTTTTGTCTAATGTGCAGTAATATCTACGTTAATCAAATTGTGAAAACAACTTGACATTTATCTACTATCTTCCCTATCAATTAAAACCTACCCAAAATATATATTAGTGATGGTGAAAACTCTATGAAAATGCATTAAGTAGTCTAAGTTTAAGCGTATGTACAGCCGCAACTTAGTGTTTACTGTTTGGTGGTATTGCCGCGTGGTGCAGCAAGAAGCAATTGTGGGAAATGCCAGAAGGACCACACAGCTTCTAAAATTTTGACACTACTTCCTACAAACGTTTACGCCTACGTCTACGTTGGCAATTACTATGGCTTACTTCGAGAGAAGTAAGCCATAGTATATTATTTCTAAAAGTGACTATAAGGTGTAATGAAGAAGAAAGACGAGATATAGTCATTCACAGCTGCTGTTTTCCTGTTGCTCAAAAACGTTATGCAGCAATTAGCCTTTAACTGTCTTCTAATGTATTCTATAATATGTACGTTCCATTTTAGCATTTTTTTTAAACTACGAGTATTTTAGACCAGTGCTTGAGTACTATCCCACTCGACGGTAAGTTTGCAACCAAAGATGGTACAGCGCACTGACTTAGCTTAACAAAAGCCTTATTCACTCTTGCCTTGAAGACACCCACATTGTAATCGAAATGAAAGGCGATGCTGGCAAATTATTTCTATCTTTATGCAGAAAGTGGGTGAAATGAAGCTCAACATGATGCGTAAGCAGATGGAGTACCGCAAGGGCATTCTGTCCAAGGAGTGGGAGCACGCGCAGATGAAGATGAAGCTGCGCCACATGGAACAGGAGCTATACTCCTATCAACGCCTCAAGGTTTGAAATTATAAACTGTTTGTTAATATTTATTACACTGGCAGCGCAGTGGCATATTGTTTGGCTGTGACTTTGCGGGTCTTAGGTTCGAATCGAACACGGAAGAAATATTTGTAAGGCTATTTAGCTAGGCGTTTACATTCCAAGGTGTAAGAATTTTTTGTTTTAAAACTGATCTAAAACTAATTTGACACACAAACTTACAGTCTACCTGATAGAGTAAATAGCAACTGCAGCCCATGCACACCTGCAGAAAATTTCCAACATAGAAGGCGACAAATGTTTTGTCACATCTGTAGACTAGATGGAATGCCCCACATACCGTAATTCTACTGGATCTCTCTAACCTTCAGAAGGCGGCAGAAATAAGTAAGAAGGTTTTTTTATAGAATAAGGGTGACAAACGAGCACACAGTCCACCTGATGGTAAGTGGTTGCTGTGGCCCATAGACATTTACATACATCTATCTTCGTTTGCGAATTAAAATGCAGATGCGTTGTCAGCTGTAAGGACTAAGATGTAATGCCTATTTTCCAGTAAAATGGGTCTCCGGTTCTCTACACTCACCATGCGAAACAGCAGCAGTGTTAAGCTGCTATCTTACGCTGGTATTCTGTGAGAGCGTGGTCCCTCCCTGGTCGAGCCGACCCATTCGTGCTACAACTATACTATTAATATAGCTGCAGCATGGCTCTACCGCGTAAAGGTGGTGCCTATTCAGACGAACTCCTGGGCAGAAAATAAGTCCTACCATCTAGTAAACATATGAACTAAATAAATAGAAATATGAACCAAAAATAACATTTAAATGACTATTATGAAGTTATCACCGCAGTAACGAGGTCTGCGTTTTTTATAATACAAACTTTTGTAATGAAAATCGGAATGCATTTTTGAACAATTTCAAGTCTTAACTAATTTTCAAGTGTAATATTTACCTGTGTTATCTTTTTGTGAAACACAAATGAAGATAAAATATATTCGTTATAGATCCCCAAAGAACTTCAACTGCATCTGAAGAATAAGGAACTAGGTTATACAGAGGAGCAGGAATTCATGAGGATGGAGAAGGAGATGGAGGCGACGAAAGTCTCCGTGAACAAGATGCTTGGCGACCAGGTGCGCAGAGTCGAAGAGCTTGAGGTAATACTTTTGATTTTGAGTAATTATTATACCTTCTAATAATGTTGCATAAAATATACTACAATAAAGTTAAGTAAGAAAAGTACTCAAGAACTCTATAATTAATTAAAAGCGCACACTTTTAATTATTTAACCGCCTTCACAAAGATTAAATTCATCAATTCAACTGTAATATGTTGCTAAATAAGACAATATTTACGAGGTTAGTTAACTATGTGAGCAATTTTTGTTTATTTTCCGTCAGTCCTTCGCTATCTTTCCATATAAATGTTAAATAATTCAGATGTTAATCATCAGTCATCCGAATTTGATGATATTCAAAATTTTAACGAGCACTCAGTCCACCTGATGGTAAGTGGATGCTGTGGCCAATTGACATTTTAGAATCGAAAATGATGCGAGATGCGTTGTCACCTGTGAGGACTAAGATGGAATGCCTCGGTTCCAGTAAAAAGAGTCTCCTGTTCTCTTTTTTTTATAGTATAAGGGTGACAAACGAGCATATAGTCCACCTGATGGTAAGTGGTTGCTGCAGCCCGTAGACATCTACATCTATTCTCGATTAAAAATTAAAAATGCAGATGCATTGTCACCCGTGAAGACTAAGATTGAATGCCTCGTTTCCAGTAAAAAGGGTCCCCGGTTCTCTACACTTACCATACAAAGCACAGCAGTATGAAGCTGCTATTTTAACCTGGTATTCTCTGAGAGCGTGGTCCAACCTCGGTCGAGCCGACCCATTTCTGCTACAACTATAATATAGCTTCAGCGTGGCTCTACCACACATAAAATATATATCATAGGAAAGTTAGTTTAAAATCAATTACTAAATTCGACCCGGAATTACAGACAAACAAGAAAGTGACTTAATACAAACGTGTTAATAATTGAGGTCAGTTTTTTAAAGTCAATTTTTTTTATTCAGTAATTTGAATTAATAGAAAAGTTACTGCATATTGGTATTTCGTTACTTTAATTTCTGAGAAGATTTTAGTAGCAATAATGTCCTCAAGATCGCATTTCGGTGACGGTGGCTCCTCTCAGCGGAGAGAACGGCTTTATGTGCTTACCAATGCACTGGAGTGGAACACCGACAGGTTCCTGATACCGGACTGCTACTGACCATTTCTTGACAGATAAACTCAATAACTATTTTTTCGGCCCAACCTGGGATCAGCAGTCGCGTTTACGATCAACGAGGCAGTCAAGGAGAATGATTATAATATGGAGCAATAAGTCGTGTTGGCGGATTTTCACATATTATCATTGAAATATTTTATTCCACAGACATGCAGATTTCCTCACGATATTTTCCTTCATCGCCTAGAACGTGGTGAATCAGCACATAAAATAGCAATTAACAATTTCATTGGTGCTGGCGAGAATCGAATCGAACCCCTGTTCCTCTAGTGCTGTGAAATTCACGGAAAAAGAAAAAACTCATTTAACTCGTGCATAAAATAAAAATTCTCCTGTCAAGCGTGGTGATTGTTACAAATTCTCCTTACTATGGGAGATGTCCATCCAACAGTTGTGACTGTTCTGATCTCAGAGCAGCAAATCTAATATAAAGTAGAATAGGAAGAAATAATAGAGAAAATGATTTAATATCGTTGATTTGTTTAAGTTGAAGTGCGCGACGCTAACGGCGGAAGCGGACAAGCTAGAGAAGTTAATAGGCAACCTCAATGTGAAGGTGTCGGAGAAGCGGCTTAACGAAGACCCCTTGCAACCGATACGTATACGAAAGATTTTTAAAATGAGGTCAGTAAAGTGAACTACCTATAAATGTTCTACTATGAGAAGCATTTCTGTACTTTTTCATAGGCCCGCTGGGTTTCTTGCTGGTTCTTCCCAGGACAGAGGTATTTTCCGAACCAGTGCTAAATAAAAAATGACTTTCAATAAGAATTATGTAATAATCAATATTGAATAAAAAATTATTCTATTCTATTCTATTGGCTCGCCTTGACAGTAAAACCGACTCGTATGCAGTGACGGTAAACGGCATGACGCTCTATAATGCTGTCATGCCCCCTCTACGCCACCGGTCTCGATTCCCTTGTATGTGCATGCGCGTATACTATTTACTATACGCTTTGTTGCTTATCTGTGCGAGTTGTGTACTGCGTATGCCTTTCTATTCGACTATGGTATACTTGATGCGTTTAGCGCTTGTATACACACTTTGTATTACTTTATTTACCTTATGATATTGCTTTATCAACTTTACTTTTTTTTTGTTGGTTTAAATTTTATTATATATTTTCACTTTTATTTTTCATAACACATTAATTTTTATGTTATAATGATATTCCGTACATTATAGTATTTTCTTCCGTGGGTGTCGTAAAAGGCGGTTATAGAATATGCTGGAAAGATCTTATGACTTCCGATATAACCATCACCAGTAAATTACCGAGACTGACGACGAGCAGCGTGTCATACGTGTGAGATGTCTGGTTTTTGCGGGAACATTACTGTAGGTGGATTGCTGCTCCTGTTTTGTCGTTGTTTAAATGGTGGTTTGAAGTGAATATTGATACGTGCGATTTTGCGTGAAATGGAAATGAGCAATGAAAGTGTTACAATTGTGTAATAAATGCAAAATTCAGTCTGGTTAGGCTCCATCTAACTCTCTACCAAACTACCATCAAAATCTCTGAAATTCATCATAATGTGACGCACCAACATATCGTGAATTTTTTGAACATCTAATATGTAATACATCATTTGATGCATTCTTTTTAGCTGAAGTCCGTGTAGCCACTGCCGCAGTAAATTATATAAAATAAAAAAGGCGTCTGGTACTGCATTCGTCAATTCACCCATAAAGAACATTTTTATATTCCACCTGCTAAAATAATCCATTTTAAAAAGAGTTTTAATTACCCACATAACAGTACCTAGCATACAACGTTGTCCTCGTTTCAGAATGGAGACTCTGGTGGCGAGGAGTCAGCTGATCCGTGAGGTCCAAGCCAATCACACCAGGATCGTATTGCTGCAGACTGAACTGGAACTGCTGCGCCTCAAGACCTACCCCACACTCGCTACCTTCCGTACCATACCCTAAATATGATTATATTTTATTTTTCTCTTAGTTCAGCATTTACAAATTCTACACTGAATAATTGAGATTATTATTGGTGTGGTCTTAAGTTTCTTAAGCAATTATAGTTCAACTTTTAAAATAAATAAGCTTTTAATTACATAATATTAACTTTTTAATAGAATGTTTTATATCCAGAGCCAGTATTTATACGGTTCAGAAACAGACCGTTTTTTATATATAAGATAAAAAACAAGTTGACAGTAGTCCACCAGGTAGAATGTGACTCTTGCAGCACATTAAGACCTGCTTCAAATAGCATGGCAACAGATGCGTTGTCATCTCTAAAGAGGACTAAGTTGAAATGCATTTCAGCTTCAACTTGTTCTCTTGCTCTTCAAAATGGAATACAGCAGTGAGTGCACAGCTGCTTTGTGGTGATGTCCATTCTCAGAAACACGAATTAGGAATGAAAAACGAGCCCACCTGTCAAGCGTAGCGATTATTAAAATATCCCGTCTATGAGGCAATCTATGGGGGAGACTTATGGTCGACAGTGGACCTTTGATAGGTGTAATAATGACGCATATATCGTGACTCTTAGAGTTTCTGGGATTGTGAACGTGTTCAAAATCGATCTTAAAGTTCGATTTTCTTCGAAATAATCGACATTTCGACTGTTCGATGAAAGCAGTAAACACTAAACGGAATATGGTGCTTACCTAGACAGATTCCTAGATTTATATCTTTTATAAGGACATCATATAAAAAAACTGAACTGAACTGTAGTACATACATACATATAATCACGCCTCTTTCCCGTGGGGGTAGGCAGAGACCAGTTCTTTCCACTTGCTACGATCCTTGCATACTTGTTTTGCTTCGTCGACTTTCATTATTCCCTTCATACATGCTCTACGGTTTAGGGTACTCTTGACCTGGCCTTTTTTCAAGACGTCCCTGATTTGGTCTAGAAATGTCCGCCTAGGTCTACCCCTTCCAACACTTTCATTCACACTCGCCTTATACACTTTTTTCGTCAATCGTTCTTCATTCATTCTCTCGACAGTTACTTTATCTGCCTTATCTAACATAGGAGCTTAAGACCTCAAAACAGATTTCATCTATTATTATCCAGAATTTTTAGACAATAAATTAAGCAACCTATTACCGTTATAAATTTTGTGCTAGATCATCATCATCATCATGAACCCATTATTAGTCCATCATAATATTAAAGTACTTTTCTATATGACTTTTCCTTAAGATCAAGCTGATCAGACAATAGAACTTGTGTCATTTACGTACCATATATCGTGAATTTACAGTTCACTATCTTATTGCTTAAATATTGTTGGTGTAAAAAAAAACACAAGGATATTCACATACAAATTTTTTATTTCTCGTAAATAAATATATTGTCGATAAAATATAAATAGCGCAGCCCTTAGCATAAAATTTTAACACATCGTTTTTGTATCGTTAACGACTAAAATTGTATGACTGAAAAATAAGTTGGCCGTCACAGAACGCCCGGCAAATGTGAAGCATCATCTTTGATTGTAGAATTTTTATATGTTTAAAACAATAAATACATAATAAATAAATAAAAAATTAAAGGCAATCAAAGACAAGGCACGCAGTACACAACTTGCACATGGAACCAACGAAGTCTATAGTATACGCGCACGCACACACAAGGGGGTCGAGAGCGGTGGCGTAGAGGGAGCATGACTGCATAAACGAGCGTCATGTCGTTTGCAGTCAAGTCATACGAGTCGGGTTTACTGCCAAGGCACAATTAATATTTACACAATAGATATTTCACATCAAAATAGAAAAAGCGCCCCTGACGGACATAAATGGAACTATGTTTTGTAACACATACTCGATTGCGAAACGAATTCGACAGAATAAAAATTCATGCTAAAGGGGGAAGTATATCCACTGCGTAAAACAAACCACATTAAACACCAATTAAAAACTTGAATCAAATTAAAATAGAACTTGATCGTTTATTTAAAAACAACCACTATATTAATATTGATCAAATGATCTATCTCTCTTTTCCTTTTATTAAACAAACCCCATTATAGCATCAATGATGATATTATTAAAAACTTGTGTAATTTTTTTATAGAATAAGGTGACAAACGAGCACACAGTCCACAGATGGTAAGTGGATGCTAGGGCTTATAGACATCTACTTGTATTCTCAACTAAGAATCAAAATACAGATGCGTTGTCACCCTTAAGGACTGAGATGGAATGCCTCGTTGCCAGCAAAAAGGGTATCCGGATCTCTACAACTCACCATACGAAACACAGCAGCATTAACTATTTTACGAATCGTAAAATTAGAGTTATAGTATGAATGGGTCAAACGGGGTAGGACCACGCTCTCATAGAATACCAGCTTAAAATAGCAGCTTAACACTGCTGTGTTTCGTATGGGGAATATAGAGAACCGGAGACTCTTTTTACTAGAAAAGAGGCATTCCATCTTAGACATCACGGATGACAACGCATCTGCATTTTGATTCTTTATTGAGGATAGATGTAGATTTCTATGGATCACAGCAACCACTTACCATCAGGTGGACTGTGTGTTCGTTTGTCAACTTATCCTATAAAAGAATGCGCTTGGGCTGCAGTAGTCACTTACCATGAGGTGGACTGCAATTATGCAGTAGGTTCTATGCATATTTTTTAAAGAATAAGGGTGACCAACGAGCTCACAGTCAACCTAATTCTAAATGGATACTGTTGCCCTTAGACATCTACACTTGTCATCAATTAAGAATCAAAATGCAGATGCGTCACCTTTGCGGACTAAGATGGAATGTCTCTTACCAGTAAAAATAGTTCCAGGTTCTCTACACTCACCATACCAAGCACTCTTTTTTTCACGCTGGTATTGTGAGAGCGTAGTTCTAATTACCTGGAGATACCATCAGAGTTAACATGCATTACACAGTAATTACATTAACTGTTTTTTTTCGAAGCCAGACGGATATTTATTTAGTTCTATTATAATTTGACTCAAAGTGTTAGATTAGAATTTGACTCAAAAGTTAACATTTATAGGAAAAGAGCCTATGAAATTAATTGTAATAAAGCTATCAGTCTCGTTAAATACGACTGGAGTACGCGGTGGGTATGCGTAACTTAACATGTAAAAATCTTTAAATTGTACATCAATATACAACATTGCCTACACTAACAGCTAGGGATCATTGCTCTAAATATTACATTAAAAGGACGCACATACACGTTCAGTCGCGAACAAATGCATTTAACATGTATACGTTTATAATGATACCTTAATTTTAACAATACAATAGCTATAAATATATCAAATCTACTTTTAAAGAAGATATAACAATTAGAACCTTCTCTACTCCTTAAATTCATACGTTTACGTTTCTTACTTGTTGTGCTTGATATTGGACATCGTGTTATGAACGCATTTGATATTATTCGTTTTATAAGATTGGTAATACCATTATTAATTCATAATGGATGTTCGATATTTGTAACATTAGATTAGAGTCTCGAAAGATGTTTGTAACATTAGTCTCTATCACTGACCACCCAAAACTCTTGGTACAAAGTCATGAACGGTTCACTGTATTTTAAGAAAGATACTTTTCAGCAGGCAATATAGATATAGTCTTGTATGTCAATGCAAAATTCACTCACATAGCATATCATATGAGGCAAGATTAAAGTAAGCTATATGGGGTTTTAGTTAAGCAACAGTGTGAAGCGAAAAGGGACATACGAGTACTAACAATTCAACTGACGATTGCTACAATTCATCCTGCAAAGTTTGCATATACTTATTTTAAAGGCCCTAGTTATACAGCAATAGTAATGGGAAAACAAGTGCACCTAGTTAAATGTGATCCTGTACATGTCTTAGCAAGAAAAGTATCAGAATATTACAAAGAAATGGCGGTCAATTATACGAACCGAGCAATGTTCATGGCCTCACGATCTCATATACTTCAGAGAACTGGAACACCTGTTGCATATTCTGTATTAATGCAGGCTGCCTTTATGGTAGCAGGAGGATGGTTCACTTCTAATAACGGATTAATGAGATCACCAGAGCACCAACACCGTGACGAAGAGAATGTAGAGTTTAACCTCTTAAACTATAATCGAAGATGCAACTTTATATTACTCCCTTGTTTATTTATTTCATCATCAGACCTTTTATTTTCCTATAGGACTTAAGTATTTAGGCATTTGAATCTTTAGAGTTTATATTATTTAATTAAATTATATGAACAATTTTAATTTACATTTTGCCCTAAATATGTGATTTGGTACAAAATTAGACTGTTTGAACAAATAAATCTAATGAGCATTAAACAGTTATTAGATAATAATGAAATACATTTTACTACGTGAACAGCGTTTGTACGCGACTGTACCGAATTGATTAAATCGTATTAAACATTAGAGTTAGGCCACAATTTCGTTATAAAATTATATCACATATATATTTATAACAATCACAATTCGCCTATTCAAATAAAATTTTACTTAAGTAACATTTAAACGGTTTAATTATGTATGTTCTATTAGCAACATTAATATAAACTTTCAAACAGAAAGTCGAAAAATCCGACTATTATCCTTGAATTTGTTTTTTCGGTAGAGTACGCGAAATTAATTAAATATATATATATATATATATATATATATATATATATATATATATATATAATATATATTATTTTCTGCGCTAATTCCAGCTCACAGTAGGTATATATTATGCTATTAAAAGTTTAAAAAGAATATTCTTTAAACCACTTTATTATTTGCCTATTTTGCTAATAAAACATTCATAGTTCATACATTATTACGTATTGTTATGCATTCAAGATACAAGATTGCCTTCAAAATGTTCGTAGTTTATAAACTAGCTGTGCGCTAACTGTAAATCGTTATTGTACAAATACCGCTACTATTGCTACTATTGATATGTAAGAGGAAGTATGAAAATACAAGCGGAAGTTTTAAAGTTTAAATTCAACAAGTACGTATAGAACAGACATAACACATAATGTAAGGCTGATGCAAACCGGATGCGTATGCGACACGTCCAGAGACGGATAGCACCTCATCGGCTTTTCTCTCGTGGAACTATAGTTTATTTGCAAAATAATTAGGTAATTTTGCAAAAAAATTTCCCGCGCGCATATTTGTAACCTCGCGCCTCTAGGCACCTGCCTATAGTACTATAGTTTGTTAAGGATAATCCGCCACTGGACACATCAGGGTTGCAACCCCTGTTGTAATGTATGAAAATGTATAGATATAGAGTACATCAAACCAAGTCCGAAGAAGGGTTGTCTTTACCTTTAAGTTCGTTGCCTTTAAGCCCCTTTAGAACTTGACATTGACTTGGTACACAACAAAACAAACAAAAACGTGTTGTATAAAAATTACAAATATATAGCTAGACGTTTCAACATTTCGGGGATTTTATAAGATCGGAAGCTCCGGGCTGACCCATGTGCCCTTTGGGTAAAAACGTCATGTTGATTGTTTTGAATCGTACTTTGTTATCAACAAAATAACAAGATTATTGTCATAAAATACGAAGTTAAATACTCAACAACCAAACTCAATACAACATACAAAAAAGTATGTGCCTATACATAGCTTTTTAATTTTTTACGCAGAACTTACAGTTCTATATGAAGTCTCAAATAAATTTTTACCTTCACTTTAAAACAACTACACGTAGGTAAAGTTGCGATAATGTCCAAGTTATACTTTGGATGCGACGTAGGTATTCATTTTAACACTTTCACTGTCCGGTTTTCAGACACAATAGTAAGACAATAACAATAAATTATATGTAGTACACTGGACAGCGAAAGGGTTAAGTATATAAAAAGTTCTAGCACTGGACATAGGTCTCTTGTAATTATACAGTACCTACTTACACACAGTAATTATCTTTCCAATAGTTTAGTGTCATGACAATGTAAAAGAATAGCTGAACGAAGTTATTTTGTCTAGTGTGGGTTGCCATAATCGAAACGAAAATGGTAAAATAAAGTGGAATCTTGATATCTCGAATTATAAGAGAAATGCTAAAAATTTCGAGGTAACGAAATTTCGATTTCACAAGAATTTCGAGATTTGTTTCCCAAACGTAACAAACATAAGGTACATAGATGTGTTACTAAGAAAGTTTAATGAATGTATTCATTCTATACAACAACAGAACAGAAGCAACAAACGTTCCTTTGGATTTTACATTTTACTGAGTTCGGCGAATTCTAATTAAGAAGTCAATTTTTACTAACTTCGGCTTACGGAGTCTGCTTCGAATTATAGGGTGTAAATTATATGTTTATTACTGTCAATATCTCGCAAGTATAACATTTTGTTCGAGTTACAAAGTCTTAATAGATCGATATAAGTACCGCGTATAATTTAGGGGTTCAGCGGACTTGGACTACAACTACTAGGGATTACGACTAAACGAGGTTCTAGTTATCGAGATTCCACTGTATTACGATCGCTAACGTATATTACCTACTCATGGTCGGCACGTAAAATTTCCCAATTGTAAAGAGACCTATGTCCAGCAGTGGAGTGGTACTGGTATTGGTGCAGTTAGAGCGCGGTGCGTTGATCGTACACGATGACCGCATCCGCGTCGAGGAACTGGCTGTGCGACTTGCTGAGAGCAATGATGGCCGCGTGCTCGCTTCGCATGCGGTTCTTGTGCTTCTTGCTCAGGCTTACCTGAGAGTTGTAACCCTTGAGTCCTTGCGTTGGTATTCAGAAACAATCTAAATTTAATTACAATCTCCACAATGTCAAAATTTGACTCCACACCAATCAATCAGAGTGAACGAGAGTGCGGAAGTTTCTTACGCGATGCCTGGGTAGTTATATAGTACTAAATATCTGGTTATTTTCTATGTACTACTGTAGGTGAACCCCAAGCTTGTGTGCGTATGCTGTGAGATGCTCGTAAAGCTTCCGTCGTTCGTTGACTCTGATACTCTGAGTTTAATCTTAAGATTGTCGCTGAACACTGGTTTCTGTCCCTTCTTTTGTATTGCTTAGAGCACAAAACTACGCATAATGAATATTTATTTCTAAGTCATGAAAATTTTCAGGTTGATTTAATTTAATATTTTTGAAATCAACTATATTTTGTAATGATTTTCGCCAATCATTTTATATCAAGAATTTAAATAAATGATAAAAATAGTATTGTTAGATAAAGTAATGTTACTCTAAAAGAAAATATGAACATAATTACATCATACGTACAGCTACCGTATTGGGTTAGTGGTAGTACGTGACTGCTTATCATGTAGTCCCAGATTAGAATCCCGGATCAGGCCAAAATCAGTTATTCCGTTTTCGGTCAAGTAATTCCCAGTAGCCCAGAGTCCAGAAAGTTGGCGGTGTATCACCCCGTGCCTCGGAAACTACATTAAAGTCGTTAGCCCTGCGCCTGATCACTTCGGTCGTGTCAGATTTCCCTCCCATCCAAATAAAAGAGTGAGAGAAAGAGTGCACCTATGCTTGCGCATACACTCGTGCACTATAATCCTGTCCTGAGAGAATGGCTAGTCTCAGTAGTGACTGGCCACCGTGGTCGAAATTCGGTTGGAGAACATTATGGTGCCTTTCTACGCTTGCCAAGCCTCGGCAAACGTCTTGAAGCCCCAAGCGTCCACAAATCTCGTTTGGCGTTTGGAAGTTGTTTACACGCTTGTGAATGCGTCAGTGTGCTACGTATATCCAAGCATAGCGGACACCGAACTCGTGTCGGCTATTGCGTTTGGTTTAACATACTTTTATTTGAAATACAAGCAAAGTAATACAAAAACAAGGAATTTTTGGCTTTTAATTCTTTTACTGGCTTTCCCGTTTACTCGGCAAGACGACTCCAAGCATTTGCAACTTTCTTTTTATTTTTATGATTAACGTCTTTGGGGTTCCAGATAGACGATTCGGTCTGGTAATATTCCGATAACGATAAACTCTCTTCGTTCGACCAGTCACTCATTTTAAACAAAGAACTAAACATGCGCTCGTCGCGAAATCACAATTTCTACTAAACGCGCACCAACGTGTGAATGCGTTGCAAGCGCTTGCCGCAAGCGCCCTTTGATCTGTGTCCAAAAACCGACACTAGCCCGGATCGGGGACAAGCGTCCACAAGCTCACGCAAGCCAAGCCAAACGCCCTCTTTACACACTCGTGCTTGTGGACGCTTGCCGAGACTTGGCAAGCGTGGAAACCCGGCATTATATGTTGCGGGTTGCGGACAAACCTTAGCATAAAGTTGTTGCAAGTCGTCCTCGGTGGAGAGCGGACGCGGTTTCGGTCGCAAGAAGGCCGGCAAGGAACGCGTCTTTAGAGCATCTATGTTCACAGCGTTGTCTATCTCATCTAACACTGAAAAATATTAGTATATCCTACAAAATGCATATGGAAGGCCCCTCACTAAGAAGCTATCAAGATGAGATTTCATTTCGCCCGTACACAGTCCACTGACCGCTGCTAGACATTGGTAATGTAGTAGTTTCTCGTCTCATTTTCACACTTGCCGTAATTTTCTTACTTGGACTGTGTTGCGCAAAAAAACGGTTGTCTTTTTTTCAGTTTATTTCCAATTATATTATATTAATATTATAACATGTTAGAGTGATGCTGCATCTATATTATGGTTGTAGCATGAATGGGTCGGTTCGACCGGGGATAGACCACGCTCTCACAGAATACCAGCGTAAAATAGTAGCTTACTGCTCAATAAAGAGCGAACATAATTACAGATTGTGAGGCATTCCATCTTAGTCCTCAGATATGAAAAACCATGTTTTTATGCACATTATTATTGTTAATTCTGTTGTTTGCTGTAGCCTTCACTATTTTAAGTTGGCTGCAGGTGTCCATGAACTGCCTTAGCCATTTACCATCAAGTGACAGTAAGTTCGTTAGTCACATTAGCTTTGTAAAAAGTGTCAAATTTATATGCGCTAATACGGAAGCACCCTTTAGTTCCAACTTATCTGCCCCGATATTGTAATACTAACGCGATAAGATCGGTGTAAGGCAAGAGTGTAGTATCACAGATACAACCAGAGTTAAAACAGGCAGTTTTAGTTTTTATATGAAATAGTTGCAGGTGAGATTGGAAACCCGCAATCCAGTTGTACCTGGCCGCTGAGTAGTTATACAACGTAAACACACTTTGTAGTCGGCCAGCGGTTGATCGGTTGGACCGATTCGTTGGTATAGTGGTCTAGAGGTCCCGGGTTCGAATTCCGGGCCGGGCTAGTATCAGTTATTAGGTTTTACTGTCAAGAAATTCTCAGTAGCAGCCCAGATACATAAATTACCTGTGTTCTGTGCCTAGGAAGAAACGTAAAGTCGTTAATCCAGCGCCTGATCTCTCTCCGGTCGTGTCGGATTACCGTCCCATCGGACTATGAGAATAGAGAATACACTTGTGCTTGCGTACACACTCGGGCACTATAATCCTGTACTGTGCAAATGGCTAAATTCTGTTGACACTGGCCGACGTGACCACAAGCAGTGCGCGGGCGCACTGCACTGCAATGTGCTGCACGCCAACGTTACGTCGCTACTCTACTCCCTGCTGCTGGAAGCGTACTACGTGATGTGCTCATTCGCGTCGATACTGCATGTACTGCACTGCAATATGCTGCACATAACGTTACGTCGCTACGCTACTCACTGCTGCTTAAGGCGTACTGCGCGGAGTGCTCGTGCGCGTCGGTACTGCACTGTACTGCACTGCAAGACGCTGCACGACAACGTTACGTCGCTACGCTACTCACTGCTGCTGAAGGCGTACTGCGAAATGTGTTCGGGCGCATCTGTACTACACTTTACTACACTGCAATGTGCTTACTGCACTGCAATATGCTGCACGACAACGTTAAGTCGCTACGCTACTCACTGCTGCTGGAGGCGTACTGCAAGATGTGCTCGGGCGCATCGATACTACACTTTACTACACTGCAATGTGCTTACTGCACGACAACGTTTCTTCGCTATGATACTCACTGCTGCTTCTGGAACGTTCTGCGCGGTATGCTCGTGCGATCGGTACTTCACTGTATTGCACTGCAATATGCTGCACGACAACGTTACGTCGCTACGCTACTCACTGCTGCTGGAGGCGTACTGCAAGATGTGCTCGGGCGCATCGATACTACACTTTACTACACTGCAATGTGCTTACTGCACGACAACGTTTCTTCGCTATGATACTCACTGCTGCTTCTGGAACGTTCTGCGCGGTATGCTCGTGCGATCGGTACTTCACTGTATTGCACTGCAATATGCTGCACGACAACGTTACGTCGCTACGCTACTCACTGCTGCTGGAGGCATACTGCGCGGTGTGCTCGTGCGTGTCGCTACTGCACTGTACTGCACTGCCATATGCTGCACGACAAGGTTACGTCGCTACACTACTTACTGCTACTGAAGGCGTACTGCGAGGTGTGTTCGTACACATCGGTACTGCAGTGTACTGCACTGCAATATGCTGCACGACAATGACACGTCGCTAAGCTACTCAAAGTTGCTCAAAGCGTACCGCGCGGTGTGCTCGTGTACGTCGGTAGTGCAATGTGCTGCACGACAATTCGACAATGTTTCGTCGCTACGCTACTCACTGCTGCTGGAGGCGTACTGCGCGGTGTGCTCGTGCGCGTCGTTACTGCACTGTACTGCACTGCTATATGCTGCACGACAACGTTACGTCGCTACACTACTCACTGCTGCTGGAGGCGTACTGCGAGGTGTGCTCGTGCGCGTCGTTACTGCACTGTACTGTACTGCTATATGCTGCACGACAACGTTACGTCGCTACACTACTCACTGCTGCTGGAGGCGTACTGCGAGGTGTGCTCGTGCGCGTCGTTACTGCACTGTACTGCACTGCTATATGCTGCACGACAACGTTACGTCGCTACACTACTCACTGCTGCTGGAGGCGTACTGCGCGGTGTGCTCGTGCGTGTCGGTACTGCACTGTACTGCACTGCCATATGCTGCACGACAAGGTTACGTCGCTACACTACTTACTGCTACTGAAGGCGTACTGCGAGGTGTGTTCGTACACATCGGTACTGCAGTGTACTGCACTGCAATATGCTGCACGACAATGACACGTCGCTAAGCTACTCAAAGTTGCTCAAAGCGTACCGCGCGGTGTGCTCGTGTACGTCGGTAGTGCAATGTGCTGCACGACAATTCGACAATGTTTCGTCGCTACGCTACTCACTGCTGCTGGAGGCGTACTGCGCGGTGTGCTCGTGCGCGTCGTTACTGCACTGTACTGCACTGCTATATGCTGCACGACAACGTTACGTCGCTACACTACTCACTGCTGCTGGAGGCGTACTGCGAGGTGTGCTCGTGCGCGTCGTTACTGCACTGTACTGCACTGCTATATGCTGCACGACAACGTTACGTCGCTACACTACTCACTGCTGCTGGAGGCGTACTGCGCGGTGTGCTCGTGCGCGTCGTTACTGCACTGTACTGCACTGCTATATGCTGCACGACAACGTTACGTCGCTACACTACTCACTGCTGCTGGAGGCATACTGCGCGGTGTGCTCGTGCGTGTCTGTACTGCACTGTACTGCACTGCCATATGCTGCACGACAACGTTACGTCGCTACACTAATTACTGCTGCTGAAGGCGTACTGCGAGGTGTGTTCGTACACATCGGTACTGCAGTGTACTGCACTGCTATATGCTGCACGACAATGACACGTCGCTAAGCTACTCAAAGTTACTCAAAGCGTACCGCGCGGTGTGCTCGTGTACGTCGGTAGTGCAATGTGCTGCACGACAATGTTTCGTCGCTACGCTACTCACTGCTGCTGGAGGCGTACTGCGCGGTGTGCTCGTGCGCGTCGTTACTGCACTGTACTGCACTGCTATATGCTGCACGACAACGTTACGTCGCTACGCCACTCACTACTGCTGGAGGCGTACTGCGCAGTTTGCTCGTGCGCGTCAGCCACGCGGTTCACGTAGCAGTGCGCGGGCGGGCGTGATTGCGATTCCCTAAGCCGCCGCCACTCTGCGTCTCCGGCGTAACTCGCCGGCCTACTGTGTCTCTGAACTTGCACCTACAGTACAACCGCATAAAAATATACCTGTACGGGTCACAGTTTGCGACTCGTAGAGCTTCTTTTATATTTAAATTAGTAGGTAGTAAAGACAGTTTAAGACGAATACGTGACTGTGAGTGTCGTATAAAATAAGCACAAGTGTGGTTATTTTGACCGTTTATTACATACCGTTACTCTTACCGTTACAGCCTATTATAGTCCACTGCTAAATATAGACATCCCCCATAATATATTGCATCATAGGGGGGATATTTGCCATAGTTACCACGTTTGACAGGCGGGCTGGCAAACGCAGTTATACATTTTTAGTCGTTGCTAGCTTTTCTCCACGACTTCGCCCGCGTGGGTTTCATTACAATTAAATTTAATGGGTTTTAATTTTCTTGCGCGGTACCCTAATTTTTTTCTAAAATGAAAGTAGCCTAAATTGCTTCCGACGAAAAATACCGTTAAAATAGTTTCAGCCGTTTCAGAGATTAGACAGAAAAAACAGACACACAGATAGACAAAAATTTTAATTTTTTTTTGTAATAAATATAAACCTTCCTTTCTTATCAACCCGTAACAGGGGCGTAGCTACCGCCGTATCAGCTATATCAATGATACGGAGTCTTCAGCTATGAATGATAATAAATAAGCTCGCAGAACAAAAGGCAAGAATAGTTTGGAAAATCCAAAAGTGCACGCCTTATGAGCGTTTCATTTAATTTTCATGAAAAATATAAATTGTATTCCTGACTTTTAAAACATATTATTTACGTATTTTAAATTTAGCGTTCTATTATTTTAACAGGTCGTGTCACCTACAGGAAAAAAAATTAATAATGTTTACCAAAATAAATCGATTACACAAACTATAACATCGATATAGGCTATTTGGTACATATTATGTACTTTGTCTACTAAAGACTATAAAAAATTAGCGCCTCTAAATAAAACTTATAAACTTGAAAATCATTTTATTAACATACTACGCGTACTAGGCTATTGATATAAAATAGGGAACTAGTTGATGTAATATTCTGAAGCTAATAAAAAACCCGGTCTCTATACGTCAATTCTTTCGAGAGTTATCGTGACCACATATAAAATCAACATCCTGACGTTCACGTAAAATTTTTTTTCAAACAGTTTTTTTGTTCAAAGTAGCAATATAAAATGATTTTGTAGAAAATATAAGATTGATTAATTAGTGTTTTCTTGTTACGGCTACGGTTACTCATATTATCGTATAAGCATTATTCTGTGTTATAAGTACGATATGTTTGTTATAGAGGCATTTTAAGAACACGAAATCACTTGACCTTGGCGTGTCGACAATAAAGCACTACCTAATAACGCTTTGCGTTATGAGGCGTGCAAAAGTGTATACCTATTTGATTTGAATTCTTGGCTAGTTTATTCCTAGGAGTATTAATTGTAAGTAATAGCTTATAATCAATATATAATTATTTAATTCAATACAAGCGTTTTTGTTCCCTTTGGGAAAAATCTTTACTTTTCATTTGGGCCTCCCAATAAAATTGAATACAGCGCCCGTCTAAGGCACGCTACGCCACTGAGGTCAGTGGCCCATTTTCTCATTTTGCTCAGTGGTATCTACGTCTTGAGTAACAGAAACAGTGGATGACCACATCCATACCTCATTATGTTTTCTCTTCATATGATCGATCAAGTTCGTAGTATTTCCACTTAGTTTAAACTCTCTTTTACACAAAGAACACTTGGCAAACTTTTCATTAGTCTTTTTGAAGTAATCCCACGCACGTGACTTACTACTCATGTTTTATTGTTTAATTCTAAATTGTTTGTTACTCCACTCAACTTCAAACATCCACAATAAAAAACTGACTGACTGACTTTTGTCTTGTAAATGAATGATATACGCACGGTAATTCCCCAACCATAGAGAAGAATCTCAATGTCTACGCCTTTGAATGTATGATATACGCACGGTAATTCCCCTACCATAGAGAACAATCTCAATGTCTATACCTTTGTCACTATAGCCGGGGAATAACTTACATACATGCATACCTCGACTCTAGGGATGTAAAAGTAGTACCCGAGTAAACAATCGATCGATAGTTTTAAAAACTATCGATAGTATCGATAGCCATTTACTATCGATACCATCGATAGTCTATCTATGTTTAACGTACACTACACTGACCCGTAAACGCTTCTCTAGTGAACATACGACTCTCCGATAGTAGGGGGAATTACTGATGTGACGAGTTGGATTTTTTTTGACTCGAGTTGCTCGAGTTCATATGGCTACTGACTCGAATCGTAACTCGAGTTGACTCGAATCGATGTCTGCTGTAGGGAAAGAGAGGCGACTCGGCCGACTCGGGGACCACGAGTCAGCTCGAGCTCGAGACTCACGAGCGGATCGCTAACGGTCAATCAACTAATAAAATTAAACAACAAAATGTCAATGGTTTAGTTTTTAAATAATTACTTAATTTATATTATAGCAAGTTATAGTTATAAATAGTTATAAATAGTAGTAGTTATAAATAAAATAAACGAAATAAATATAAAAGAAAAAAAATGTCAATCAAAATAAACATTCAACGCAGTTTTTCATTCGCGCAATTCCGTTTCCGTTCCGATCCTGGCCGAGCGAGCCCGACTCAACCCGAGTTCTATAATCTATTCGAGTCGATACGAGTACGAAACAACACCTTACGAACGGCGCGCGCGCGTGTGTATCGTAACATAATAAATAATAATTCACTCAACTCGAGTTGATGCGAGTTGCAACGCCTAACGAACCGCGCGCGCGAGCCGCGTGTGTAACTCGGAACAACTCGCGTGTGTAACTCGGAACACCGCGTATAACTATAACGTCCGGTTTGCGTTCGGACGACCGAGTTGATTCGAGTTGCTTAAAACTGAACTCGAGTAGACTCGTTTAAGGTTTGATTCGAGTTACTCGAGTCAAATAACTCGAGTCGCACACCGCTAGGGGGAATATGTCAGATATCTCGCAGCTTTTAAACTGTTCTAAGTTTTCCTTTCTTAACCCATAGCTAGATATTCTGAGAATTTATTAAGAATTGTATTTATAAGAATATTGTCCATTATCCTGATCATGAATGTACATACCTCTGCATGTTTTGCTTTATTATAATCTTGATGAGGATATCCATGGTCTTCCTTTATTGTGTAGGTGTTTTTGAGATATTGTTCGTCTAAAATATGCATAATTGTAGATATAATTACTTATTATCAAAATAACATTAAAATATATGATTAATAATATCAAAAGAAATTACCTAATGATTTCTGATGACGCGGCATGAGGCGGCAGTAACATATAATAATTAACAAAATAGCCACGCCACAAATGCCTCCAACAAGCCAAGACAACCAAACAATTATAACGCGACCCTGCAAGTAAACAAAGAAACTTAAGTCACTAACCGCTGTTTAATTTTTATCGATTTTATTACGGTCTTGTACCTGCAGAAACATTTCAATTTCTAACAAATAAGCGAATACCGCTTGTTTTTGTTCCCTTAGGTTTTATTTTTTCTAACATTTTACTGAATTATCGTATTACAAATCTACTAAAAATTTTACAAAATACGTCAAAATATTAAAGTATAAAACGAAATGTTACTATTCACTGCATTCCCATTTTCTTAATTAGGCGCGAATGCGCAATGCGCGACTGCGCTCTCTTCTTCTTAATAACTGGCTTTACGGCTCTGGGATCTAGCCCTTCTGAGCCTGAAGTTACAATATATTATAATAATTATCCTTCATAGTATACTGCTTCACAATATGTTGATGCATCACATTGTGCAGCCCTAGGGAGATTTTGAAGGCAACTTGAGCCAGCAGATAGACGCGTTGTCGCGTAGGGTTTTGGCGGGAACTTGACCGGCGGCGGTTTGCTGCTCCTGTATTATTGTTTATATAATGGTTTGAAGTGGACTTTGATATGTAAAAGTGGTGCAATTTTGTGTATTAAGTGTCTGCGCATGTGAACTATTAGTGGAAACTGTGAAACAAGTGCTCTGATGGTGATGTGATTCTCAAAATAAGGTGTCTGTCTGCTTAGGCGCCTTGAGATATCATCGCCAACCGTCAGCTGTCTGCTGGCTCAAGTTACCGTCAAAATCCCCCAAGGGCTGCACAATATGACGCATCAACATATTGTGAAGTAGTGTACTATGAAGGATAATTATTATAATATATTATAACTTCAGGCTCAGAAGGACTAGATCGCAAAGCCGTAAAGCCAGTTATTAATAAGAAGAAGCGTTGTTGCGCGCCAAGAAATATGCACGGAATCATAGGATTTTAAATGCTATGCATGGAATATTATAAAACTTGTTTTTGTTGCGCACTGTTAAATTTGTGATACGTTCGTATATAGTCAAGAAGGTAAAGTCATAAACCGGTAGTTGTTATTTATTAATACTCAAATATTTATATATAAAACAATGTTAGTTTTACAAAAAAGAAACAATATAAAGATTCTTGATAAATTCTCAAGCATGATTAATGATTATGGGATTAGCCATAGATAAATAAATATGTAGCAAGCTAATTAGCAAAGAGATTTATTTTAACCTCGGGGATTACGATAGATCATTCTATATAGAATATTTTTTTAATTTCTGAACTAAAACGTCAATAAAATTTTCCCTCCGTTCCAGTTCAAGTGTATTTATTTATTACGAACCCAATTTTGCTACATATTTATTTATCTATGAACCCAATAAATAGAATGGTTTACGTTAAATGTTTTTATTTAATTCACGGGCTATTAATCAATGTTTAAATCAAAACAGTCAGCTTATTGCCATTATGATACAACATAATAATATAAATGTCAGGTTTAAAATTTAAAACGAAACGGAACGTCATTGTATAATTCGAAATTTCATTTCAGTACTTATAAAAAATAATGTTCTGCTTCATAGATAAATAAATATGTAGTAAGCTATTCTGCTTCTGCTTCTGTGATTAAAAACATAGACCAAGTAACCAATTAATAAGTATATAGGGCAATTAAAATTTTCTCTGTGGTCTTTAATAGTCATTGTGTTACTGATAATTAATAAAAACAAATCGTTCATGTAAACAAAACAAACTATAGTCGTACGATTCTCCTTCGACGTAAGGTCATATCGCATGATCTTTATTAACGTCACATCGGTTGAAACGAGCTCCGTTCGTTTCTATCTGTTCTGTTTTTGTACTTGTGCTATAATAACGTTAGGTAGTAAAGAAACGCGAGCTGGATTTCTTAATTTGTATTTATTGTATTTGATCCAGACATACGATTTCACTCCAAAAAAATATGAAATTAAATCTGGCACTTGGGTTAATATTTAGCTTTTTAGCGAAGAATTCCCTAGGGTTATCGCCGGTTATTCTTAGTGAGTACATATCTTTTATTTTGGTAAAAGAGAAAAAAAAATTAATTTGTGGAGGGTACTTTAGAGATACAATGTTTTCTAATTTATATGTGCAATACGAATTTATGGAATATAAATTGATTTGTGAAACTGAACTATTAAACCGTGTAAGTAGTGGGGGTGTAAGAATATCCACTACCCTATATCATCCTGTGGCTGTTGTAAGCGGCGACAGAGGGAACCAAATCAAGAGATGGGCACCATCGTCTCCCTAATAAAGACAAAAATTAACGAACTGCAGTGTCCAACCCTCTTGCCAAGCGTGGCAGCTGTGGTAAATATTCGACCTATTAGGGAGGCCTATGTACTTAACAATTAATATAAATTTTATTTTAATTGAAAAAAAAACAGTATATGTAACATAATCATTTTAAATTACAGTAGGGCTAATATACCTTTGTTTTAATACATTTCATAATAAAAAAATTATGTAATATAAATAGAAATATATAATACTTTGTGTTGAATAGTGCCAATAATGCACTATATCCATAAGCGTAGATGCATCAGAATTCTTCGCACGCTATTTTCAATCCTATATGATCCATGCACTCCTCAATATCTGAAATGCAAGTTTCAGTATTTGGGTTCTTCCCACGATCGTAACCTGAGATCCTCCGAGGGAACTACTTTATGTGTTTTTCCTCGCCGTACTAAATTTATGTCTCAGTCGTTCGCCGCTGAGGCCATAAGGCTATGGAATAAATTACCTCCTCATATCAGGAAACCGACTTCTGTTGCAGCCTTTAAAAGAATGGTGACTGATCACTACCTTTGTTCTTTCAGCAATTGACCTTCTTAATTAAATGTTTCTGTATAATGAGTATTATAAATTACTTAAGTTGTTTTTGTATAATATGTTTGTATGTAAGTATGCTTAAAATGTATGTATTATGTATTGTTTAAAATTATGTATGTTTATGTATCATGTATAGAGTATAGTATTTATGTTATTTGTAGTTATATATATTTATTTTTGTATTTACAAGTATAGTATGTATATGTTTATATTTACATTCACGTATATATTCTCAAGTTTTTATGGCACCTGCTTAAGTTTCTCTGTTTAGCTCGTGGTTGACTGGTAGAGAATGCCTAAAGGCATTAAGTCCGCCAATTGTACATCTAAGTGCAATAAAGATTTTTAAATAAATAAATAAAATAAATAAATAATGTTTGCAGCTAGCATTGCTGGGGCCTTCACATAAAATGAGATGTCAATTTAAGAAATGCTTAAAGTTGCACACTCTCTTTACTAAAAGACTACTGTCTAAAATACATACTCTATATATATGACATTATGTGTTAGGCAACTGTAACATAAACAAGCCTAATGGTTAAAATTGTTACTAAAAACCTGGCTGCATAAAAATTTTGCTGAAAATAGAAAAATATAAATAATATAACCTGTCACTTCCACAACTAAGACAAATCTAACAACATTTCAAATGTTAAAATGCATCATTTTGTTTAGCCTCTGTAGCACAGTACCAATAGCACAAAAGCTGCTAATAACGGTATATTGTTAAAACCTACTTGTTTTGAAGTCAGTAGATAACAGGGTGGGATCTATTAATGTGGTGTTATTTAGACTTAAGATAATCATTAAAGACCATTTATTACATCTTATCAATATTTTTATTTTAATCAAAGAGATTTAAATATATAGATATACAAAAAATTTTAGCTAGTGCACACGTGGCACCCTCTAGCTAAAAATAGCAAAACAACGCTGAGCATTTATTAAGACAACATTCTAGCTATTCCCTAGTAGGTGATGCTAATAAATATAACGTCGTTTTAGGAATGTTACTGTTTCGATATCAAAGTATCGATAATGTTGTTGAAGATTACTAAGTTTGAAATGCTTTCCGATATAATAATAGGGAATATACATGATTGTTTCATTGTATAAATCTATTTATCATGATTTCCATCGCACGAAAAAAATCATATTAACTTTTTACACCCCTTTAGTGTCATGAAATTAAATATTTAATTTCCAATAACTAAGAATCAATTCAAACAGCAGTCACTTTGGTTGCCATCTTGGTGGCATCTTTGATGTCGTCACTCGGTCCATTAGCTGCTATAATAGTAGCATATGATTGATCGGTCGGCGTTAAAGACACATTGAGAAATGCCTAATCAAATAAGAGTATAGAGTCTAAGAGTAATCTATTACAAAAATACCCTTCAAATCTAAAATATTTTAGGAAAACACTGAACTTAAAAGCCGTTTCACGATTTTTCACGTTTCATCAGCTGCAGTACTTAAAGACACTACCCACACCAATAAAAAATGTTATTTTAAGTTTTTAGGACTTGCTGTATTACTAAACATCAACACAGCAAGTATCCTTAGCATGCTCATAAGCAACACAGAAAAACTCATCAGCATGCCTAAAAAAAATTTCCCACCCTTGCTCCACATAAAGTAGGCTACTTAGCATAGTTGGTATATGCTACTCATTTTTGTTAGTATGGGTACAGTATCGTTGACTGTTTTACCTCTTTAAATATTGTAAAGGATTAAATCGGCATCCTGTATATTTTTTTATCGATAATCCCAATCAATATCATCAATCACTAACTTTAACATTGGTAACTAAATTGTGACGTTTATTGTATAAGGGAAGGCGCTTATTGCAATAAAAATAAATGTTCTAGAACAATCTACTAGAAATAATAAAATTTAAAGATTATTCAGTAAATATGTGTTATGTTTACGATAATAAACCGTAATCACGTTCATTTTTTGCTCCATATCGT